GTTATATATTTATCAATGGCTCTTTTATTATTATTTAAGATGAGCTTGATCCTAGGATCTTGTTTCCCTAGGTAAGGCTGTAAATAGTAGGGTCATCAGCCATTGTAACACACGAAATACATTTTGTACACTAAAGCTTTATCTTGTTACTGTTGCTCTCAATTTAACAACTTTGCTTACATTTTATCGTTACTCTCATTTTTCCTCTTGGAGACATTATGTTTGGAGTCAGACTTGTCATCTCCTTCAATTTCAATTGCTTCTTAGTATTTGTTTTATCTCTTTATTATTTTCTGGGTCAAATCAATTCGCTTGTCTATTAATCACGTAACAAATTCAACCGTACCGTTTTACGAGTAAATAGTAGTTGTGCGCTACCTAGCCTAGATACTTCCATCATTATAAAAAATAAAATAGAAACACAACACTTGAACAAAAAAATTATGAAGACTTGGTAATTATTGTAGAAAGATTTTATCACTAACGTTACTTTTTGAAAAATAATCAGATCAATGCTTGAGTTGAATAAATTACAATTCACCCCTTTATACTTATAGTAGGTGAGATTCCATTTAGTTTTCGATGTAACTCATATGATTAAGGCTATGAATATGGCAAACATGCTTTCTGTAATTGCTACTGCAATCGGACAACTGCAAAATGAAAGTCAAAAGAAAACCATCTTCGCCCTAGGTTCGAACCAATTTGCGGGAAAAGAAATGATTTATGTTCATCTTCGTGGTACCTTTTAAACATCCAAAATGAAAGAAGGATTCAGGATTTAAACTTGATGATGATGTTTGTGTGTAATGTATGTATTGTATGTTCCATATCGAAAATAGTAGGTTCTATTGGTTTCATCTGTCTCTGATAGAAATAAGCAGTTACAAAAATACTGCAGTCGTGCGCACAACGTAAGTGCATCACGGTTAAATTTTAGTATATTTGATAAATGAATACACTACAGTCACTCTATAACCATATCATTTGTTTCGATATTTTTAGGCTTTGCAGTGAATAGTTGTTATATACCTATATCAGCATTTGATATTTAAATTATAGACAAAATTATCAAAAATTTTAAATTTTTTCCCTTTTTGATGTTACATATAAAAGATAAAAAATTATTCAAATATAAAATCTCAAAAGATATGTATATTTCACTAATTAATTATTAAAAATAGCTAATACATTATTAATCATTTCATAACCAAATGTACAAAAATTTAAACTCTAAGGCACATATTTTAAAGCTACTAGAAAATTAAATTCTTTCAAGATTGATGAAAGAACTCTGAAAATGGTATGTGCAAGTCTTCGAATCTTAAGCATTATATAAGATGGAAACTTTATCCAATGGAATATATTATATGTGCAAATCTTCAAATATTAAATCTTGTGCATCATAGAACCTTTTATGCAATGGAATGAAAATATAGAAGTATATATTTTAATCGAATTAAATGAAATCTTTAATTATAGAAGTTTGTACTAACATAATATTGTTTTTATTATAAGTGGTGCATTAAAATTCTAAAAAAAATTGATCAAATAAAATATTTAGGATTATTATTAGTAATCTTATATATTCAGTATTGAGATTTTGATGATTAACAAAGTTTGTTCAGATGCAATGTTCGAAGAACCAGGTCCTTAACGTAACTGCTTAACTGTTCTAAGAACCAACTCCTCAGGGTAAAAGACCAGCTCCGACATGTTGGTGATTGTACGTCTATGCAAGACGGTAACTTTATCTCAAAGTTACTCTAGTCCGAGTTTGGTGGAAGAAGGCTGCTAAACATGATAAGGGTTGTTGTCCAAGAAGATACGAATAAATCAATAAGAGATAAGAGTCCTAAACTTGTGGATCCTTGGAACAGTAGGAGTCCTATCAAACGACAAGCTAACTATGCATAGGACTCCTAGAAGATCTTGGAGTCCAAGTATTTAAATACTATCCATTTGGACTTCTACAGATATCCTTACACGCATCAACTGAAGAACTATATTTGTATACTCTAGTCGAGTACCAATGTTGTGTTCTTCTTGAGTCAGTCTAGTAAATATGTTTTAAGAAGTTTGAGTTGTAATCAAAATGTCAGAAACAATTTGTGAGTTGGAGTGAGTGTTTGCTTTACAAGTTAGAGTAACTTGTAAATCAAATAGTCGTAATAGGAGTACTGGAGAGTATTGAATTAGAGTCTTGTAATTGATACATTTTGGCTCATTGTTCTAGTGGAGTTGAAGTTGAAAATCCTACGCAGTAGGTCGTGGTCTTTGCACCATTTGAGCCGGGTGATTTTCCACGTTAAAATAGATGTGTTTACTTTACTGTTTATTTTACTTCACGTTTAAGGAACACAGTAAAGAACCAAGTTCTTTAGTAATTCATACGGGCACTCAAGCTACCAATTTATATCATAGCAAGTTCTCTCACATACACGGTTAACACCTAGAGAGATATTGAAAGAAAAATGAGTGCTCCACCCGGAATTAATAAAGGACAATCAACTACCAGACCACCCCTATTCAATAAAAAATATTACAGTTGGTAGAAAGTAAGAATGGAAGACTTTGTGATAGCTGAAGACTATGATGAGACGTTTGCACCTCTAGCTAGAATGGAAGCTATAAGAATGCTAATAGCCTTTGTTGCACACATGGAGTTCACTTTGTATCAAATGGATGTAAAGAGTGCATTCTTGAACAGTTATCTGAAAGAGAAAGTGTTTGTGAAACAACCTCCTGTGAAAGTGAAGAATTTTCTAACTATATGTTCAAGTTAGACAAAGCCCTATATGGACTGAAACAAGCTCCAAGAGCTTGGTACGTAAGACTCTCAAAATTCCTCTTAACCAATAACTTTGTAAGTGGAAAGGTGGACAACACTCTGTTTCTGAGGAGCAAAGGCAAGAATATTTTAATTGTGCAAGTATATGCGGATGACTTTTTTTTTTGGGGGGGGGGGGCTACTAATGAAGCAATGTGCAAGGAATTTGCTAAGATGATGTGGAATGAGTTTGAAGTGAGCATGATGGGTGAACTGAACTTCTTTCTGGGGTTGTAAATCAAGCAAACACCTACTGGAACCATGATACATCAGCAGAAATACATCAAGGAACTGCTAAAGAAATTCAACGTGGACTCCTCTAAGTCCATTGACACTCCCATTGCCAATTGCAACAAAACTGGACCGTGATGAAAAAGGGAAAGTGTTGAACAGAAGCTATATAGAGGAATAAGTGAGTCACTACTGTATTTCACATCAAGCAAGCCTGATATTATGTTCAGTGTAGGACTGTGTGCAAGATTTCAGGCAAATCCCAAAGAGTCTCACCTGAAGGCTATCAAAAAGATACTAAGATATCTCCAAGGGGCTCCTGACATGTGCCTATGGTATCCTAGAGGGTATAGATTTGATCTAGTTGCTTATGCTGACTATGCAGGTTTTCATATGACAAGAAAAACACTTCAAGAACAGCACATTTTCTAGGTTATTGTCTAGTGTCTTGGGGAACAAAGAAGCAGAACTCAGTGATTTTATCCACGCTGAGGCTGATTATGTAGCAGCAACATCTTCCGTGCTCAGTTGTTGTGGATAAGACAACAGCTAAAGGACTAAGGTATTTTTGTTGATTGTGTTCCCATTTTTTGTGATGACACTAGTGCTATAAACATTGCTAAAAATCTATGTCAACACAAGAAAACCAAACACATTGATATTAGACACCACTTTCTCAAAGACATTGTTGAAAAAGAGAATATCTCAATTAACTTTTGTAAAACTAAAGATCAAATTGCATATATTTTTACTAAAGCTCTGAGTAGGGATCACTTTGAAAGGAACAGAGTGGAACTAGGTCTAATCAATACTTCCAATTAGTTGAACCCCAATGATTGGCTAGAAAAAGTATAATTAGATGTAGATAGTCAAGTACAATGTGTTTGATTCAGTCTCGTGCTTGTATTAAGCACACACACCTACTTAGAAAAATATAGCTGATAACTATGTTGTATGATACTAATATATACTGTTGAAGCTTTATTGCAGAAATAAGTAAGGAGTTACTAAGGAGTTGGTTCTTCAACTCATTTACATGGCATCTTGTCTTAATTCACTGGGACTTGATATCCTAAATTATTGCTATGCTCAGACTTCTAATCTTGTTAGCATCACTTCTAGTTGTCATCTAGTTAAAGAGTAAGGGCGAATTCTAGAGCAACAAGTGTTTAATTACTCCTGAAATTCGAACACTCAAAGTAACCGTTATAAGAGTCCCGTTAGAACTCAAATTCGGTTACTCTCTCTCTTCTACTCAAATCAGGAGTAACATCTTTAAAAGCCCCTTATGATCCATTTCTCAAACCTCATTATTTCTCTCAAACCCTAAGCAAGAACTAAGAAATAATTCTCTTTTCTCTCTTCTCCCTTCATCTATTTTCTTCTTCGATCACCATGCCTAAATCCAACCAAATCATCATCTAAGGTTGAACCCAAATCCAAGAACATGAAGCCCAAATCAAAGAAAAGTGTTAAACCATCAAGTGAACCAGCACCAACACCTGCTCCTTCTCCATCGATATCCTCCACTATACCTACACCATCATCCCCTGTTCTTGCTTCTCCCCACCTCCACTGGACCTTTACTTCCAAAACCAACCACCCATGCATATGTTCCTACTTCCAAAAACACCTCTAAGTCAACCAAGATCAAGGCTACTCTAAGAAAATCTGTCAAGAGTGTCAAGGTAGTGCTTGATACTACTGATAAAGTAGATACAGTGGTTAAGGAAGCCATGGTCAGCGGGAATCAATGCCAGTCATTACAAGTCGGGTACAACTCCCTCCTCCAAAATTAGATGTTCTGGTATCCGCTATAGATGTTATACCCTTAGATACTCTCCCACCCACAAGTGATAAACCATAAGTAGAGGAACTCATTGTAGAAAAGAGTGCAGCAACACTTGAGAAAGAGGTAGATACCACTACTGTGGTGCCTATGGTTGAGGGGGAAAGGAGTAAAGAACCAATGCAAAATGAGGCATCTGATTGTCTTTCATTCAGCTGGATAGAGGATGAGGATGATAATGTGGGTGAAAAAGAAGAAGGAGTTGTGGGTAGTCATGAGGGACATACTACTCAAAACATCGCTAATGATGAGGAAAAGAGTGAGAATGAGGGAGATTCTGGTTAAGAGAAGGAGAGTGAGACAGAAGATAGGATATGTGAACAAGCGGATAACTTTGCAGAAGAAGAAAAGAACAGTGATGAATAGGGTAATTCTAATAGTGAAGGTGAGGATCAAGAAAAGGCAAGTGAGAGTGAAGGAGAGGATGAAAAAAGTGAGGAAGAGAATGAGAATACGAGTGAGGAATCTGAAGGATCTATGACTATTGGGAACACTGTCATAGTCCCTTCAGAAGAAGCAAGGGGAGAGAAAAGGACTGAAGAAACTGGACCCATGTTAACTCCTTTCACTAGAGATGAGGAGGTTAGTAGTGACGAAGATGACCTTTCCCTTGTCTGAGGTAGCGAAGAAACCCAGGAAGACTCCTGTGAAAGCAACAAAGACTGTAGTCCCAACAAGGAAAGAAGTGGCTCCTCCTGCCAAGACTCCTCTTACGAAGATCAAAAGAAAGGTTGTTGATGAACAAATCATTTAGGAGTCTAGAGGTGCCAAGAAGCCAAGGAAGCAAGTTTCAGTTGTGGAACCTGTGGTTGAGATGGATGGAAAAAATGAATCTGAGTCTGCTTTGCCATAAAAGTCCTCAACACAAAATATAAAGGTTGTCAAAGCTACAAAAACTACTACCACATCTGCAAAGGCCAGTAGAGGAAAGAAGAGAAAGAATGTGCTATATGTGGTTGATAGACTCACAAAGTTCAGGAACAGAAAAATGCTTAATGGGAAGATTCTTGTAAACACTAATGAAAAAGGGATAGCTCAACTGGTTGAAAACCTGAGCTATATGGATAGAAACACATGTTTGTCAAAGCTTTCCCCCTCTATGTGTTCCTGTTGTGGTGGAGTTCTATGCAAACTTCCAATTTGATGGAAAGGTGGTCAAAAGTAAGGTAAGGGGGGTTTGAAATGGAGTTTGATATTGAGGAACTGGGGATACTTCTGGATATTTCCACTTTAGGTTTTGACAATTACCTGAAGAAAAAGTGGCTAGCCATAGATAATGTTGTCGACATAAGAATTGTGGTCACAAGGAAGTTCTCCCAAAAGTTTGAACTGGATGCTCCTCAAAAGGTGTACAAGACTGATATGACCCCCTTCCACAAGCTGATGTTTCACTTTGTCAATTCCTGCATTCTACAGAGGTCTGAGAGAAGGCATGAGGCTACCTTATTGGACATTGTTGTAATGGAACTGCTTGACACTGGTAGACCTATTATTCTCCCTAGACTGATGATTCAACATATGGCAAGAGCTATAGACACTTCCAAGCCTAACCTTGCAATGCCTTATGGCTTCATGTTGACTGAAGCTCAACATTGCCTTGCCTGAGTTAAAATATGGAAATCACAATGATTTTTTGGATGTTGTTACCCTCAAGCAGCGTGGCTAGGAGGAGACCAAGGCTAGAGGACCAACATGATTTGCTATTCTACCTGGAAACAGCATGGCAACACAGCTCAATAAGAGGTTGGAGTTGGTTGTTGAGGAGAATGTCAAGCTTTGTGAAGACAATGATGAGTTGAGAAAAGAAACCAGGTAGCTTAAGGAAGAGCTCAGACGTGATAGAGAAGCTCATGCCTAACAGATTGCCACCCTTGTGAAAGCATTGACCCCCGCTACCCCTCACCCATGAACCTGTTCCTTCCTAGTGTCTTTAGTTTCTTTTGCAATCCCAGCGATGCTTAAATCTTTTTTTGTCTTTTTATGTCTTAGTCTAAGTAGGTTGCAGTATGTTTAGTTTATTTTGTTTTAGTGGTTTAAGACAAGGCCCTGGGCTTATTTTGGCACTACTAAATGACGTCTCTTATATTGTTTTAACGCTTCACACAACATTGGATCATCACCCTAGTCTGTTTGCTTTGATAATTCTTGAGCTTGTGCTATAGCCTGTATGACCTTGAATCTTACATTAACTGTGTTTAATATGTCTAACATCTTTTTTTCTCGATGATGCCACAAGGGGGAAGATAAGGTTGGGGGTGTTGTGAATTTGTCTGTATGTGGTGTAATGTGCATGTTGATTGATCGCGACTTGTTGTGATTACCTGGTACTAGTGTGTACAAAGTTTGTCATTATCAAAAAGGAGAAATTTGTTGAGTATTTAGATTTTGATGATTGACAAAGTTGTTCAGATGCAATGTTCAAAGAACTAGGTCCTCAACGTAGATGCTTAACTATTCTAAGAACCAGCTCCTCAGGGTAACAGACCAGTTCCTATAGGTTGATGATTGTACGTCTGTGCAAGACAGTAATTTTATCTCAAAATTACCCACGTCTGAGTTTGGTGGAAGAAGGCTACTACACATGATAATGGTTGTTGCCCAAGAAGATACAAATAAATCATTAAGAGACAAGAGTCCCCAAACTTATAGATTTCTTGGAATAGTAAGAGTCCTATCAAACGAGAAGCTAACTATACATAGGATTCCTAGAAGATCTTGGAGTCCAGGAGTTTAAATACTATCTATTTGGACTCCTGAGGATATCCTTACACACATCAACTGAAGAACTACATTTTGTACACTCTAGTCGAGTACCAGTGTAGTGTTCTTCTTGAGTTAGTCTAGTGAATGTGTTCTAAGAAATTGAGTTGTAATCAAAGTGTCACAAATAATTAGTGAGTTGGAGTGAGTGTTTGCTTTACAAGTTGGAGTAATTTGTAAATCAAATAGTCGTAGTCGGAGCACTAGAGAGTATTGAATTACAGTCTAGTAATTGATACATTTTGGCTCATTGTTCTAGTGGAGTTGAAGTTGAAAATTGATGAGCCGTGGTTTTTGCACCTTTTGAGCCGAGTGATTTTTCACGTAAAAATCGATGTGTTTACTTTACTACTTATTTTACTTCACGTTTAAGAAATATGGTAAAGAACCAAGTTATTTAGTAATTCATATAGGCACTCAAACTAACATTATAAATTTTACATGGTTGTTATAAAGGGGTAACTTTACAAAGAGCATACTACTATAAAAATGAATGCTGCTGTTATAGGTAAAAAGCTATTATAGAGAGTTAAAATATAACATAAAAAATAGGTTTCGAGTAAAATATGACTTCTATATTGAATGACTATTATATAGGGATGATATTATAGAGCGGTCTCAGTGTATAAAATTGATGAAGTGAGGAAAACAAATATGTAAGAAAAAGTTGTACATTCCATACATTCATCCTTTAAGACCAGAAAACAAACATCCCATCCTTCCCACAGTTGGAGAATAGGGCTGGGTATGCATGCATACATTACACAAGTATCATGATATTAAGGTTATGTATATTTTTGAACTATCAGCCCTATAAAAGAAATAGAAGAACTTTAGAATCTACAACAGAGAAGACCCTGCCTCCATCGTTTGTGTTTCCGGCAATGACTGCTTTCGACCTGTGCCATTCTTACTGGACTGCTGTTCCATTCAGATAGTAAGCTGCAATACAACAAAATTAAAATGTCAATCAACAAGACACAAATGATCAGCTAGTAAATGGAAAACAAAAGGATGAAGGAAACTAGCACAAGATGTAGCAGAACAGTACATTGGAAAGGTAAAGGATCCGGTACTAGTTGTGCTGCCATCTGATCTAAGAGAAATGCTCCCACAATATGATATACGCCCCGAGAAAAAATGCAAACCTGATGCAGGTCCTAATGCAGAAAAACTTGCCTCCCCATCAGCAAAATGACCTTCGCTATCCAGTAGGAGACAGCTCGATGATTTATCCTCAAGATTAGCCACATCTTGGGATTCAAGGGATTGTCCATGAACATTGATACTGCTGCTCTTGTCAACGCTGTTAGAATAATGAACTTGACTGGCAACTGAGAGATTATAACAACTCCTATCCTTGTAACTGGTAGTGGCTGCTGATATGACGGATGGTTCATGAAAGTTTTCGATACCTTCATCCGTGCTGCTAGGTGTTACTGCCTTACTCGAGTTGAAGTCAAATATAATAGCTTCAGTTCCCAACTCGCTGCCATAAAATAAGTCGGTAGCTGCCATACTGATATTTGCTTCATCGACTACTGCTGAGACTGGAATTTGGCTTTTGAAAGCTGCTTCCTCAAAAGGAATCTGGAGTTTAAGCAAATCACATATGACCACAGTGAGGTGTCTAATACAGTTATACAGATGAACATACTTTCAGCCACGAAGATAACAGAAGTAAACCTGATCAGGCTGCTGGACAGATTGATCACAATCAGAGCTAGATTTTTGAGAATTCCGAACTCCAGGCTCTTCTAGATGAAGCATAACACTAGCAGAAGAATCTTTCTCTGAGACTCCAATTTGGCTTTTCAAAGCTGCTTCCTCATAAAGGATCTGGAGTTCAAAATTGGATATGACCACAATAAGGTGTCTAATACAGATGAACATATTCTTATAACACTTCTTATCCAGAACAAAGGTGAAAAACCATAAATAACAGAAATAAACCTGATCAGGCTGCTGGGCAGATTGATCACCAACAGAGTTGGATTTTTGAGAATTCTGAATGCCAGACTCTTCCGTATGAAGCATTATATTAGCAGATGAATATTTTCCTGATGGATTGGTACCTTTCCACTTTGTAGTACCTTTTGATCCAAAAATCATGATCAAATCCTCAAGATAAGTATCCGCGTCAGAAATTCTGTTTACTTTATCAGTATCCTCTTCTTCATTTGTCGCAGCAACAAGTGACTCAGTGTCCTCTTCTTCACTTGTCGCAGCAACGCTGTTTGCATATTCTACAGATGAAGCTTTAGATCCACCTGCAGAGCATAATTCAATATCATCACTTTCCGATGTGTTGCTGTGCTGGTCTTCATCAGCTGGTGTACAAACATATGTGCCATTTTGACCATTGCTCCAGCTTTCAGTTAGAATTCTATCCATCACAGCTACACTCTTGTCCGTGCATATTTCTTCAACAATGTTATAGTTACTTTCTTTGTAGCAAACAATCAATTCAGGCAACTCATATTCCTTAGCATGTTTCTCTGCGTATAAACTAGTGTTTGTCCCAAGGAACTTGCAGCCAGAGGTAAATGGTGCATGCTCATCAGAGACAATGGATTCATTTTCTTTCTCATCAATGAAATCAGCAATCGTGGAGCACTCAAATTCTGGAGTACTCCATTGTTGATCTCTATATTTTGTATTGCATGCAAACGGATTAATATATCTCCTGCAAGTGATTATGTTATGCGAATCTTCGTTTTGATCATCATCCACAGTTGGAGCTATAATTTCATGGTGTTTGCTTCTAGAAATATCGTCGAAGTATACAGAATCGTAAAGTTCTGGGACTAACTCATCCCTATCTCTTGTTTCACATGCCAAAGAGCCGTTGTAACTTCCATAGCGATTTGAATTAACGAAGTCTTTTGTGGGAAAGAGTAAAGAATTTGCTTCCTTGTAACCATTTGAGCGACTTAAGATCCCATTCTGGTTATCCTTCATGGTAGCCGTTTCTTCAGGTGTGTCAAAGCCGCTGTCATTGCAGTCAAATGTTTTAGTACTATGCACAGATTGTAATCTGAACAAAGAATTTTCAGCACTTAACTAGACAATTAAGGGGTCGTTTGGTAGGATGCATTGGATAAGCTAATGCATGCATTAGCTTAGTTAAAGACAAAATTGTCCTTCAAAATTTATTCTTGATTAAAATATGCTAGTTAGTATATTAATGCAAGTTCAAAATAATCCAAGTAGTGAGAAATAAAATTATATCCCTAGTATATAAATAAATACTTAACATATTTCCTTTTTCATAAATATAAATTTTATTTTACAATATAGGTAGACAAATAAAATAATTTTTTTTAAACTTTTTCATATAAAAACATTTCTCAACATATGTTTCTTTTAAAAAGTTAGAGTGTGGACTAGTTTTGAGGGCATTTTTGTAAACAAACAATTCTTTTAGAAACTGTGCAATGCTTTAATACATCAAACCAAACAATGGATAAGAAATATGTCAGCATAACTAATACCAGCATAACTAATGCAAGCATAAGTAATACCATCATTACTAATACACTCTATTCAGCATTATTCTTGTGTACCCTACCAAACGACCCCTAAGAGTTTCCAAATGAGTGAAGGCGCGATTTTCAGAAAACATGCATCTTATTGATCTACAACTTACTAATTAGAACTAAAATGGGCAAAAACAGACAATAGATTAAAACCTAGTAAGGACAAATCTTAAGGTAAAACTTTGACACTCACCAGCCTCCATGGTCTGAATCAGTTGGTAGAGTCTGAAGTATTCTCAAAAGCTGTGATGCAAACATTCCACGTCTCAGGTAGATATAACTTGGGAAATCTGCCAAAATAAAGTCTAAAATACAGGTAAGGAAAATTAGATGCAATTTCTTGTAAACTCCAAATATGATAGTAATTTTAGCACAAAATTAGAAAACAGTAGTCAAGAATGCAGTAGGAAGCAAACAAAGCACTCAGCACGGTTTCAGAATTCAGACCCCTGGCTAACCCAAATCATATTATAAAGTTAGTGTTTTTTATAATGTATGTAAAACCAGGGAACGCTCGAACAAGAACAATTTGAATGTATATCAGATTATTCTGGATTCAAGAGAAAATGCTCAAACCCTTGAATCAGATAATCATTAACACTACAGCATGTGAAGGTAACCAGATTTACATTGCAACCATTCTGAGCATAGTATTTAAGAAAAACTTATGGTTTTAAATATGTTATAAACATATTTGTGGCTATATAGTAAACGGGACTTTACCTGGCAAAAAGTGAATCAAAAGAGAATTTTCCTATTTAATCCTTCTGAACAATGATTGGATTTGGATTTCACTGCAAAGTATAAGAAACACCATTATCATCAGAATAAGCAAAACTTTATTATCTCAAAAGAAGGAAAACAGAAAACATAGACAGGACTAAGAAAATGCAATTATATAGTAATTAACTACGAAAAAAGCCAACTCCACCAGCAAAGCAAATTAGCAAATTGATCCCAAGATTTGAGCTCCCTCTTTATGAGACAAATGATAAAATGAAACACCGAGTTATTTCTTTCCATCTGCTTAAGTTCAGAGTTTTCGGACCCTGTGTGCTGGTGTGAGGTAGTAAATACTCAAGATATGCTCATATTAACTTGGACACCACGATTATAAACAACATATAGTCAAATTCAATAAATATGAGAGAAATGCAGACACCTTAGCTTGCTCCTCAGTAGAAAGAGAGACACAGAGAAATGATATAGAGAGAAGGGATAGACAATTAAGCACTAAATGTGAAAGAATTAATGTATCCCTCTAGAAGAAGAAGCAAAAAAACAAAACAAAGAAAAGCCAAAGTGGGAAGCCAGCAACATTCGACCAGCCGCCCAAAAACAAGTCAACTGTCGTTCCAAGTATAATATGATTTCATTTGTTTTCTATATTGTAATATATACATGTGTGCCCTGCAGGTAGAATTTTATATATGTTTACACACACGTACATGTATCATCAAGTGCAGTGCACGAAGGGAAAAGCTTTAAATGATAGCAGTATTAGTTAAATTTACCGAGACAAAACGATATTTTTATAATTTGAGTTTAAATTTTACGTATTGATAATTTATAACGTGAAAGATATTATATTTATTTATAAGATAATTACAAAAAAATATTTATGATAATGTAACGTTAAATAATATTCCTCCATGTTATTTTAGCCAAACCAATTAATCCAAAATAAGTTACTTTAAGATCCCAAAAAAGGTCTAAGCAGAGAAACTCCTAATGATTTATGTAATTAAATGTGTCTAAAATATTTATTTTGGGGTGGAGGAGTATTTGATAGAACTAATAACTAATACTCACTCCGGTTTACTTTAACTGATTTTTGTTGTTGTTTTCACACATAGTAAGGAATTCACTTTTAGTAATAATTAACAATGAAAATGATCATATGACCTTAATTTGTTTGTTGAAAATATAATAGATATTCTTAAGATCTTTACTTTAAGCGTAACTTTAGGAAAAAAAGAAGTTAACTACTTCTTGACATCTGAAATAATCAAATATTATAGATAAAAAAAAAGTCAAAAAATCAATAAGTGGACCGCAGAGAGTATAAGTTAAAATCTGTTTACATTGTATATATAAATTAAATCTTTTTCATTTACATGAAAAATGGAAAAGAAAAAAAAGGGCCGGCTTACCGGAAAAAGGAAAAAGATAACTGTCGCTCTTTCAACCGTCTCGTTTATATCAAATCTAACTGAGATCCACAACTAAACAAATACTAATACCTGTTAACAATGAATAAAAAATGGGAAGAAAATGGGACATTTTGACAATGGAACAAAAGAGCTGACATTTGCAATGTATATATATTTATAAATAAAAAAAGAAGAAGGAGAAAAGTAGAAAGCAGAGAGGAGAGAGGGGAGACCACAGAGTAGTCAAAGGCAAATCATCAGTACCTCCCCAAAAAGATTGTGACAGAGTGATAAGTACTCTTTCATCCTTAATCAGAGATTTCGAGTTTAAGTCTTTGGGTATAGAGTCGTCTTTGTTAGGGAACACTTTACCTTCCAATGTGAGATTTCCCAGAGCGAATTCGAATTAGTTGGGCCCCAATATAAATACCGAATATTCGGGCGAGAAATCAAAAAAAAAAATGTACCTCTAAGAGTTTGTTGCTATGCCCGAATAGAAGACAAGGAGTAGGGAAACAAAACAAGGCTTGGAGCTAAACAATTTAACCTCTTACCTATTGAGAGCAAAATTATAATCTCAACAAAATGGTAAGTAATAATTAAATACCTTATATATTATACGTGTAAGAATCTCTATATATATGTACAGTTTATTCCTTTTTTTTTTTTTTTTTTTTTTTTTTTTTTTTTTTTACAATGAGTTTAAATTTTATAGACGGAGGGTTTAAAAGATTACTTACACTATCATGTCAATTAAACACAATTGCATGTAACTCTAACTAATAAATATTGCTTGATAACCCATCATTTATAATAATGTTATAAATAGAATTTTATTTATGGAGAATGTCTATATTTAGAGAGATTCTACGGTTTATTACTTGGTGGCTAAGTCACCCTCTCTCTATAAATAGATAGTTATATTCCATTGTAATTAATCCTATATCAATAAGAACTCTCTCTCTCTCTCTCTCTCTCTACTTTTTCTCGGCAATACTCTTCTTCTTTATTTCATAACACGTTATCAGCACGAGACTCTAATCAATTGAGTAGAAGCTTTGGGATTGAGCATAATTATTGTCAATTGTTCCATGAACTTCCTTCATGATTAAATTCTGGATTTAAGGTAAATATTTTACTTTTCTCTTTCAAATTCTTGACATTCTATAATTTGATTTTAAATACAAGCAAAGACAATAAATTGTGATTATAACTCTAATGGAGTTTGAAAGAAATTATACCCACCCAAAGTAGTAAAATTTCTATGCCTTGCCATAATCAAATTCATGTATGATTGTGAGCAAAGAATTAAAAACTCGTCCTATTGAATTTGCTCCATTCTCATTCCCTTAAGAGAATGTGATAGCAGTATGTAATAAGTTTAAAAGAAGACAAAATTATTACTATGAATATATCAATGAATGTGGGCGTGGCAATAGACGAAATTATAATCGTCATCATTATGACAATGAGAACAATAAGGATTCTCAAAATAATCCTTCACTGTGTGAAAGTAATATTTGTCATCGATTTGACATGAGATTTTGTAAAGCACATATAGATGATTATGGTCCATTCATGATGTGAATGTGACAACATGTGATTTATGAATACATATTCATTCTTGGAAGAATATTAGCGTGCTAGTGGTATATACCACACTCACCTCTAGAAAGAGGTTTGAGAGGAAATAAGAAAATAATGTCATTATATGGCATAAATAGTCATTGGTCACGTACTTATTGTACGCCAAAATATTTTAGCATTGTGATTATTAAAAGACAAGGTAATGCAAGAAACACACTTTGCATATAATTTTGACCAAAACCATAATGGTAAAACTTTCTCTTTAAAAGAGATATTCACCATATGGATGTTGATGAATATGTGGTACTACAAAATTAATTGAGAACTCTCTAAGAGTTAATTATACTATTTTGGAGAAACACAATTGATTACCAATAAGGCATTGTGTATTGTAGTAAGTCTCAAAGAAACTTATTCTTTTTCTAAAGTATACGCGAAAGCGATTGATTATACTGAGACTATAAATAAAGAAAGGATTTAATATCTTCTATTACTACAACTTGTAGCGGGGTAATATGTATGTGAAAAGTTACCCGCTTTATTCTCCAGTTAATACTACACAAATAAAAGAATGCCACAACGAAGTAGAAGTTTATTGATATAAAAACCCATATCATAATAAACTTGGAGTTTATTGATAATTGCACACGTCATGGTGTAAATATGAAGTTTATTAATATTGATAATTTATTCAGTTGGCATAATTGGTTTAGCCATACCAATTTAAGTATGATGTGCAAAAATAATAGAGAATTCACATGGGTAAATATCAAAGAACTAGAAAGTTCTTTACGAATTCTCTAATATTGCTTGTTCTCATTAATTAATTGACCAACTAAAATTGGGATTGAATCCCATGAATGCTGGAAATATCAAAGGTGAATATGGGCTCATTCACCTGCCATGTATACCACATAAGATGCATGTATGGGATGGTTACATGTGCGATTATTATTAACCCGCAACCTGGCCGGTGTTTGCGAGGTAACTTGCTCAATAATTTAATTTCGAGCATAATTTTCAGATTTTCCATTCAAGAAGTCCATCTTAATAAGTTGGTTTACATCACAGTTGGTTTAGAAAAATAATTTATTAAGTGCCTCCACTTAATAGCTAAACTATTGCTTATGAGAACAAAGTTATCTATATCAGTTTGATATAAGTTATATACGAAAGTATATTACATTCTCCCCTCACAAGTGGTTCAGGGTCAGGAACCAAATAATTCCATCTTATTATTATTGATGTGCGGTGTACATTTTGATTAACACCATAACACACAAAGATGAGTTCTCAAAGTTGAGGAAATAAGTTAGTTTTTCTAACATGAGGGGGAGATATGATAAACAGTCGAGAAAATGTTACGTGGAATGAATTATCATTTGTATATCTAGATCCTCGAATACGATAATATGAACTTGAAGTTCATAAAAAGATAATTCATCTGCAATATATTGCAAAGTATGCTAGACGCATTTGCTGACCCAAAGAAAGTAACTATATTCTCATCGCAAATGCTCCTATTAAGTCCTAGAAGGACAAAGTCTATGGTACACTTAAAGCGTATAGACAAATCGGTTTCAAATAAAATTCTTGATAAAGAAGATGAGCAAATGATCAAAATGATCATAATAAAGGAGGCAAGTGATCTAGAAGATCACATGACATAACACTCCATAAAATCTCAGGAGAGATTCAGGTACCTGAATATATGAATAAAGAGATCTCTATGTTATGTCTTTATGCAAAATAAGGAGGTTGGAACCGATATAAAATGTTCGTCGATGACATCTATCATAGCGCTAAGTATAGATGAGGATCTTAAGTCTATCGAATATAGACACAAAAGTATTGGCCAAATGAAAGAGACACAATTCAAGTAGAATTGATTCCATATGAAAGGCATATAGTTTTGGACCTGTAGTTCAAACAATTGAAAGTATAAAGTCTATGATATGTGCAATCAGTTTTCGATATCTTATTTGTCTAGCATGACATGAAAACTTGATATGCATCTAATTAAAGTCTATTGTATGACTTATATAACTATACTTATATGACAATCCTTGAAGGATTTAAATCGCTGAAAGCATATATAATTCTTGGTCCTGAAGTACAATATCCTAAGTGCTATTTGCGCACATATGCTATAAGCATGATAATGTGATAGCGACGATTTTCAAGGTGCAACATATTCGTTGGACTTAATATGGCTTTTTTATTTACCAAATCTCTGTTGACGTCAACCTTCAAGAAGCTAGTGCACAAGATTGAAATGTGAAGGCTTAAGGATGTGAATTGATGCTCTCATCAGGAGGAGTTAATGCGCGTTGTACTCTTTTTCCCTTACAAGGTTTTGTCCTGCTAGGTTTTCCTTGCAAGGTTTTTAACGAGGCAACCAAAAGATGTATTGTTAGATATGTGTACTCTTTTTCCTTCTCTAGAAATGTTTTTCCCATTGGGTTTTATTTAGT